CCCCAATGACTTTTACTCCTAAAACTGCTTGAGGGACAGATTGGCAAAGGGAGGTTTTATAAAAACTAATGAGCAAAAAACATGGTGCCTACAGAGAGGCAACCAAAGGTCAAGTCCTGTCATCTAGATAAGGCCAACCTCTGACCCGTCAGTTGCTCATTTACAGAAACCTAAAAGTGCTTTTGTGTCAAATTTCCATCTTTACTGTCCTTCGTAACCTAGCTTCATGGCACTCAAGAAAAACTGGCCAGAGGGTGTCCTATCCTGGAGACTACAAAGGAGGTCCCAGGTATCAGGGTGGACTGCGGGTCTGAGGTCACGCACTAGAAGCAGCTCAAGGCCTTTGCAGGGGTAGTAAAGACTGGGAGCCTCCTGTTGCCGCAGAAGCTGCATTTTCCCCACCAAGTGATTCTTAATGACCCAATAAAGCTTATCAGAAAATTGCCTTTACCGGGTAAATGATCTCAGGCTCAGGCTCTGGCTCTGGAAGGGTTGCCGTCTCTGGAATATCAAGGAGCTTTATCTGCTCTTTGGATTTCTCCTTGAAAACGGATTTCTTCTTTAAGACCCTGCTCTCTTCTTTCTCTGCCTTCTCTTTGCCTTTCTTCCTGCCGCCGTCCTTGCTCTTCTTTTCTGCTTTCTTCTCTTCCTTCAAGCGCTCCTCTTCTGCTAACCGATCTTGCTCTTCTTTCCAGGCCTGTGAACCATCAGAAATTGCAGCAGGATTTTAAAAACAATTGTACCCCATTCAGGTCCACTTGGGAGAATGCACAATATGGTTTTCCTAGGTGGCATCTGACAAAGCTAAGTGCTGAACGAGAAACCTTGGGGTCACCCTCGATTCCCTTTCTCTCGCCCAGCGCTGCGTGAGAATTCACGTTACTGCATGTGTTTGCCAAAATGTGTTATTGTGTCTGTTAAGTTTTGGCCCAAAATGATTGATTTGACTACATAAAAGCTATATAGTTCTATATAGAAACATAAATGGTACTTACTAATAAGGGAATTATTTCATAAATTCAAGTACATCTAAATTATAGACTAACATATTGCTATGAAAATAAGATCTCTCTACATATTGTCTGAAAGTAATATTCATGATATGTTACTAAGAACAAGAAAGCATATAGCAGAGTGAAAAACCATACCAAATCTAAACCCAAACCCAGCAAATGAAAACCCTCTTTCTACCTGTGCATGCAGCTGTACGAGCACAGAAAACACAAAGTCGTTAATCTTTCCTATTTCTGGGGTCTAGGAGAGCCAGGATAGCTTTGCTTTATTGTAAAAAGCATATATTACTTTTATAACTAAAAATTCCAATTGAAAATATGCAAACAAAACAGACAGCTGCCACAGAAGCAGAGTGTGACACATCTGAACAAGGCGCTGCCCTGGGTTCTGTTTACATGACAATGAAGGACAAGCTTCCCTTCCAGGCTCATGGTCTGGCAGGGGAGGCAGCCGGTGGGCAGGCTGTCCTTTCGTTACAGGTTCGATTATTTCTGAATGTTGAGCAGATCACTTCCTCTTAGGCCACACAAGCTGTCACCACAACTTTCTGGATCTGTGACGACCCAGTGTCATTTTTTTCTGTCCTTGTACCTTCAGAGAACCTTCTAAGACGAAAGGCATCTTGTCCTTCTCTTTGTCTTTCTCTTTCTCCTGTTCCTTTTCTTTGTCTTTTTCTTGATCAGTTAGCTCTGTTTTGCTCATTCCTATGACCAGAGAAAATTCAACTTCTTAGTAATTCCCTAAAGTAAAGTTTCAGAGAAGGGCCGAATGTCCAGGCTGCAGGGGCGAGCAAAGGCTACCAAGTCACCCCTGCTCACTCACCCCGAATTCCCTCGCCCCCTCCGCGCGGGCTCCCCATGGCCTGCGGAGCTCGCCGACCAGGAGGCGGCCAATTCCAGCGCAGAATGTTGAGAATTTAAAGCTTTTATTGAAATGGACTCTTTCCCCCCAGAGCTTTAACCGGTTAATCCTAGGACCGCACAGGACAAATCTAAATCTCTCCATACTGAAGCCTCCTCTTGCCATCTGCAGTCATTCTGTTTGGAAGGTTTACATCTTTCCCGACTTGAGAGGGCTCTGCCCGAATGCAGTACCTACCAGATGTTTCCAACCCCAAACTGGCCACTTTCTGGATTTCCTTAGGCACCCAGAGGGGGTGGCCCTACATTTCTTTTTTATATAGTGCCATCCATTACCCTGCTATTACACTTAGTGTTCTCCTGCTGAGCCCCCATCAGGAGGAAGGCCCAGCTGACGGATGGGTTATATTGGAGAACCATTTTGGGGGACCGTGAGTGATTCATCATCAGCTTGGTTTGCTAAGTTTTATTTTAGAATCAAACCAAGCACAAATTCCTCTGGTAATTAATGAGGTTGCAGAAACGCTGGAAATTATATAGCTTTGCTTCTTGATAAGAAACCTGTCAACTTGGGCTGTTAGCAATAATGAGTTTCATTAACTTGGAGCCCACTCTCTTTGAGCAGACCCGGTGAAGTTCCCTTACTTCCCAGATGAATTTCCTCAGTGCTTCACTTTTTAAATCGAGGTTCTTTCCTCTTTGTCACCTTCTTCTCCCTTCTCCTGACAGCATCAAAGCCATGGAAATGACCAACAATAGAAACAAAGATAGTGATCCAACGTCCTGTCAAGTCCCTGCCACAGGCCCCCAAGAGTCCCTTTCCCATTTAATTTTAGATTCCTACCCCGGGCTCATCTTGGGACTCTTCTGTTTGCTCTTCTAAGGAAGATCTTGTTTTTACCTCACTTTTGGAATCTATAATTATTCTAATGGAGACACACTGACTCTGAATTTACCTGAGATATAGTCAGCAAGTCTAACATCACACCTGCTCTGTACAATAGACAGAAGCTCCCAGCCCTAGCAGGACATGGGGTCCCTATTCCACTCGGGTGTGACCTCATCACACTTGAAATGCAGTTATTCTAGTTTCTAGAGAAGGCGAAGAGGCACAGCAATTTTGCAGGCAACTCTTTTTAATCCTAAAATATTCAGTTTTGGTTACACTAAGAAATAAGAGAATGTCTTTGCACTTCATGTTCATGTTCAACAGCTTACTTACTATTGGATTTTTTAAGAGCAAACATTTTGTTAGGAGGAACAACTTTGCCACCAAAGGAAGATCTCAGTTCCATCTCGGCTTTGCTCTTAGAGAGCTCCTCAGCCATTTTAGATTCCTGATATATAGCTTCTTCTTTTATGATCCAATCTTGGATGGATTTTGCAACCAGTTCCAAAAAATTCCTTAAAAAGGTAAAGAAGAGCAGATGGCAGCTGAGTGATTATTAAAGTCAATAACTACTTAAGACACTGACTGAGCAAGGGAACTTTTCAAGATGAATTGATGCTAAATTGCCCATGTAACAGACTTGGAAACACCTTGGATGTGTTTTGTACAAAGGAGTCAAATGCAAATACACAGAATATGAAAAATTCCCAACTTCATTCACAATTAAAGACATGTAAATTTTAAAAATGAGGTATCTCCACCAAGTCAAGGATTAACAAGTTTGATAATACCAAGAGCTGATGACAGTTTGGAGAAAAAGTCTCTCTCAACACCATGAGCTGGTGAATTTTATGGTACAATCTCATATTAGAGAAATTTTATAGAACTATGGAAACTTTTAATTGACCGTCAGCTAACTGATTACTGGATTAACTGAAACACTCCAGTCTAGCTATCAAATTTACTGGCCCTCTGAATACTCACATCCTCAATACTATGCCCTAAGCTGCTCCTGCATCTGTGCTCACATCAGAGAGCTGTTACTTACCAGGAGTTGGCCACATGTGTTCCCAAATCCATTCATCCTATTTATACTGATTATTTTTAACTAAGTGCTATGCATACTTTTTTCTATTGATGGGTTGTTTTTAGAGAGATAGAGAGGAAGGCAGAGAGAGAGAGAGAGAGAGAGAGACAATGATTTGTTGTTTCTCTTATTTATGGACTCATTCGTTGCCTCTCATACGTGCCCTGACCAGAGAACGAACCCACGACCTTGGCATATTGGGACTATGCTCTCACCAATGGAGCTACCCAGTCCCAGGGCCCTAGGGTCAGATATTTTTATCTGCAAGTTCTACCAAACACCAAAGGAATGTATATCACAGTCTTGCACAAACTCTTTCAGAAAATCAAAAAATAGAGATAAAAAGGGAGAACTCCCCCCAGATAATTTATAAGGCTAAGATAATCTCAATCCCCAGACCAGACAAGAACATTTGAAGAAGGGAAGATTATAGCATAATCTTGCCCACAAATACAGATGCAAATGTTCTAAACAATACATTAGCAAAGCAGACACAGCAATTTATTAAACAGATAACATAAAGAACAAACTACACTGCTCATGGGAATACAGGGTTGGTTGAACACTAGAATACCTATTAATGAAATTTAGCATGTTCATAGATTAAAGGAAAAAAATCTTAATACCTAAATTGATACAAAAAATCATTTGATATGACTTACAATTTGTGATTAAGAACTCACATAAGTAGTAGCGGGGGGGGGGAGGGGGACGACGCTAACATAAATCCTACAGCAAAAGTATATATTTAACAGTTAAATATTAAAAACCTGGAACAACACAAGGATCCCTTCTCAAAATTACATTGGAAGTCCCAGTCAGCAAAAAAAGATTAGAAAAGTATTATTATTGGCAATAAAAAACAAAGCATAGAAAAAAAGACTCAGATTAATAGTTCAAGATACTAGCTTGGTCCACCTACTATGTGCCTTAGTGAAAAAATAATTTTATGACTTCAGAAGGTATGTTCTTGTGTATGTGTACACACCACCTGTTTCCCTAGCTATTCTCTATGCCCATTCTCTATGTCTTTCTGTAGCCCTTCTGACTAAGACACTGCTATACAAATAATAAATACTGGGTATAGATTAAACAGTATTAAAAATATAATGAAATGCCCTTGTTATTAATGAAAAGACAGAGCAAAGTTTCAAGATAGTAAAGAAATAACTAAGAAGCTTGGAAGAAAAAAATCAGTGATTCCTAGAGGTCTCAGTTCGCTGGGAGCCTGACCGCTGTGTTGATATGTCACTCAGTTGCCCTACCTGTGAGTCTTTCCCAAGTCAAATGGAGTTACCTCAAACCAGCATGCAGAATGTCATGTTTTGTAGTTCCTACCTGGAATCTTTCAGAGGCAGTTTTATTGGAGTCTAAAGAAGTCAAATGTAAGGTAGTAACATTTCCACTAGACTTAAGGAGGCCAGGAGTGATGTCTTCTTTCAGCGCTTATCACAGAGGCTGGCACACTTCAGATACTCAACTCAGTGAGCTGAACTGAATCTACACTACCACACAAATGCATTCATTGAGCTGGACCGCCTAGCTTAGGCTAAGGAAATAAAATCTAAGTAAGTAACTAACAAGCTAACTAAACTAAGGTGGCTAAGTAGACCAGGGAAGTTGGTTACCTGAATCCAACGTTGGAGTGAAGAGCAACATTCCAGCGTTCACAGTGCAGACGTTGCCTGCTCATTGGGTTATGAAAGACTAAAAGTAAGGAGTTGTCTTGGGTGTGGTAATAAGAATCTATGCACTTGTATTGCTGACTGGCTTCTTGAAGAACCTGAAAATAAAAATAATTGCATTGTTGTGTCATTTTTTTCCAAGGGAAGGGTCTCCTGCTAGAGCATCTCTCTGTCCCCTACTCTCTTTCCCCTTGTCTCCACACCGTTAGTCAGGGTGAGAGCATCAGTGGTAGATATTTTTTGGAGCATTTCAGGAGTTCTTAAAGAAAAACAAGTACTAGGCTCCAAACATAGAGGCATTTGCTCAAGTGTTTTCCATTAAGGCTGAGCAGTTATTAATTTAACGTTTTCCATGCTTTCACATAGATCATCTCATTTTATTACTGTTAAAAACCCCAGATAAATAGGTATTATCATCTTTTTAAATCCTTGTTTTTTTAAGAATAAATTGGGGCTGAGAGAAGATAAGAGATGTGTCCAAGGACACAGAGTTCGTAAATCCCGGTGGCTGGGCTCCCAGCTCTTTTGGCTCTCAGTGTCACCGTGTCCACCCCACAGAGTGCTCTCTGCTGCGCCAGGCTGTGTACAGAGAAAGGAGGAGAGCAGTCTTTGTGACACATACTGTTTCTGCCTCACTCCCACCCTGGCCTTTTCCAAAGCGTTCTACCCACAGCACGCGCTGCGATCACAGCCCCAGGAGAGGGGCACAGCAGGCAGCTTGTTGTCCTGTCTCCTTTTCATGCCAATCAACCTGGGAATGATGCCCACAGGAAAATAGACAGCAGTGGGGTTTTGTTTTCTGCTTTCATTGTCAATGCCAATCTGGTGTAGGCAGCTTTCAGCTCTCTGCTGCCTGGATGACATAAGGGCATGGAATTGCATATTATGTTGGGAGAGAACTGTTTCACTTTTGCCGTCAATTTTACACGGGGAGCACAGCCGAAGTAATACACTGACTTCTCCAATCTCGTCCCTCGCGGAGTGCCTTTATGGAGCAGCATTCAAACTTTTACATCTGCTCTCTGAGAGCCTTTATAAAAAATACACATGTAGTGAACATATTTGCATTAATTTTAATGCAGGGCACTATTTATTACTTAACTTTTTTTGAAAGGCAAATTCTTTTGACTTTAACCCCCTCAAACAAATAATACGTCTATTTCTGATTGACATGTAACCTTCCTTCTATTAAAGAGCTCTACGACCTATGTTTTCACTCTCACTTTGGCTGCTGGGATACACAGGACTAAGTTTCTGAGCTACAGTTCCTCTCAATCAATGTTTGTTTTCATTTTATAATGTTTTGTTTTCATTTCTTTCCTCTCTTTTTTCACATCTGGGCTCTTACCTATTATTCTGATTAATACTGTTGGTCTCGTTAACTAATTTAGTTAATTTCTTTCATAAAAATGAACACCTACTGTATGCCAGGCACTGTGCAGGTTCTAGGGAAACAAAAATGAACAAGACACATAAGATCGTCCTCTAACATCTGATGAGTTTTCTGGGTCATTCTGCAGTTCCGAGCTGTTCTGGGTGGAGTCGGGGGGACAGCTGACGGGCAGAGGATGGCGGGTCCGCCGCGGAGCGGACGCTGGTGGCCGGCTGGCGTGGCAGCCGTGGGCTGGCGAGGGCCTCGCAGGCATATTTTGAGGAATACCCCCCACGACCTGCTGCATCGCACGTGGGATAAAGGAAGAGCTGAAATAAAGGATGACTCCTAGCCTTTTGCTTTGATGGTGATCTTTTCTGAGACGGGTGAGGGCAGAAACATGCTTAGGTGGGAAAATTCTGAGCTTCATGTGGGACGGCGACTTTGAGATGCTTTCAGAAGTTCCAGTGGAATTTGGAGGCGGGTATGCTAGTGTGGAGCTTGAGAGTTTATTTCTTTATTTATCTGTGTGTTTTAGTTTTAATTTTTCAATTAAAGTTTACTTTCATTATTTTTTTGTACTTGTTTCAAGTGTATCGCATAAAAAAAAGGAATTGTATAAAAGTCTAATTTGGCATTGTTCAATAGAAAATAAGATGAGCCACAAATGTGAGCCACATGTAATTTTAAAGTAGCTATATTTTAAAATATTATCATTTCAATACATAGTCAATATAAAAACTGTTAATGAGATCTATTACTTTTTTATATTGTCTTTGAAATCTGGTGTGCATAGCATTTATATAGTTATATATAGATATATCATACATAGCATACTTATAACACATCTCCATTTGAACTTGCTACATTTCAAGTATCAGAAGCTACATGTGACTAGTGGGGACCACATTGGGCAATGCAGATCTAGAGACTGACTTGGTAAGAAGACGAACTGCCTTCCCCCCATTACTCAGCTCCCAAAACCCTGACAGGCAAGTTATGTCTTTCAGACAGGAAATTAGATTTTTTTCCTAGAGAATCTAAATGGCCCAAGAGAACAGATCTAACATACCAACACTGATGGGTCTCTCAAGAAAACCACCCAGCCAAGTCACCAGTGATGAAGCTCAGTTATTGACAACTCCTCACCCCTGACCTCATGCAGCACTTCCTGTCATATTTTAGTGTCTGGTTATTAATATGAACAAAGAGGCAGATATCAGTAGATATTGCTCTCTAATATGAAAAATGGAGACCAAAAATAACTCCCCAAAAGAACTTGAGAAAAAAGAGACACTGCAGGGAGAAAACACTAAGACTTCAAAGGGCTTTAATATCCTTATGGAGATAAGAGAAGATATGGTTTTAGGGAACGTGAACAGGATACTATAAAAAGGTAATATAAAATTATAAATAGAACTTTAGAAAATTAAAATGATGATACCAGAGCTAGAAGACTCAGTGGAAGAACTGAATGAAAGCTGAGCCATATGCCCAGAACAAAAAGACAAAGTGCTGGAAAGCAGGAGGGAAAAGCTCATGAAATTGGAAGTTCAGTCTAGGAAGTCCAACACCAGAATTATAGTAGTCAGAGGAAGAAAGGATAGAAAAAATGAAGGGAAAAGATTGTCAAAGAAATGTTTATAGCACACCTTCCAGAATATAAAGACAGGAGTGTCCAGACTGCACTGGGCTCATCAGCGCAATGCTCGGACTAGAAGCACTCGGAGCAGCATCAGCAGCAAGTCCAGGCCACTGGGACAGAGAGACGGTCTTAGACCCTCCAGGCCAGGAACAGGTGGCCTGAAACAACTGATCAGGACTCAGAATTTCACTGATTGTTTTCAAGGAGAACCCAGGTAGCTGGAAGACCATTGAGGAATGCCTTCAAAGTTTTTGAGGGAAAATGCTTTTTAACTTAGCATTTTACATAAAGCTAAACTGTCAGTCAAATGTAAGGGTAGAATTAAGATGTCTTCAAACATCCAACGCCTCAATAATTTACCTGCTATCTATCTTAATTCAAGAAGCCACCGGAAGAGGTGGTCCCCTACAAAAGGAGAGTAAGTCAAGAGAGAAGACGACTTAGGATTCAGGAAACAGAGTATCTAACTGGAAAGAGAGGCAAAGGAGGGCCGGGATGATCCAGTAAAGGGAGCTCCCCAGACCACAGCTGTGCAGCAGGCCCAGAGGGCAAGCGGGAGTTCAGGGCATATGGCAGAGATATTGCTTAGATGATAAAATTGATAGAACACTTGTTAGGCTTTTAATGTATTAAAAGGAGGTTTACTCTTTGGTAGAGGGCTTGGGGATGAGTAGTGATAAACGTATAATAAACACACAAATGAAACAAATGGGGAATGAACTCCAGGAAAAATAGAAATTGTGTCAGAAAAGGAAATGTAATCATACAACACTACATATGAGTAACAATTATACAATTGAAATAAAGTAAATATTGAATATAGACCCAAACCAAAATTATAGTTAACAGTGTCAGAGAATGACAAGGAGAAGTGCTGGTGTGAGTGGTGTGTGTGTGTGTGTGTTGGATGAGGGTGGGCAGAGCTGTTTTCTCAACAAGGAGTCAGTTGGTGGTAATGCCTAAAACTAAACAAAATATACTTGTTATTTAGAGATAACTGAATTTAAGTAACAAAAGAAAAAGGTAAATAGCTTGAAGGTTTTTACATCTGGGAATGTAGATATGGAGGTGGGAGGGAGCTGCTATTTTTCATAGGACTCTTTATAGAACTTTCTGGCTTTAAACATGTGGGTATAAAACTTTGAGAAAAGTAAAATTGAAATTAAAAAACAAAACAACAAAGAGTACAGTTTTTTGCACAAAATGTAAAAGCAACAAAAGGAGTTCGTTTTAGGATTACTTGTTAATATAGAGGTTAAGGGCACAAGTGCAAGGGCCTGATTTCTTGGGTCCATACCCTGCTTCTCTCACTTACCAGCCACGTGACCTTGGACAAGTTACTACTGGTCAAGCTGCCTCAGCTTCCTACCATTTACACAGTTTCTACTTCATAGAATTATTGAGAGGCTTAAATGAACTAAAATACATATTAACCATTGTCTAGCATATGGTAGGTGCCCAATAAGTGTTAGTTATGGCTGGTTCCATTGGCTTAACTGCATCAGAAAATAGTCTGACATTTTACAAAAACTGAACAAAACTGACAGGCAATATGGGGGGAAAAACGAGGTTGCTTCCCAATAACACCTTACATTTTTTTAAGAAAATATGTGCAGCAGTCACATACATTTCTCTTTTTCTTAAAAGATTTTATGAAAACATCCTTTTGGAAAGTACATTTTAAACTATTTTGGAGATTCTCTGGGCATGTGTAGCTTGATGTGAGGATAACTCATTTTATAGCTGAAGTAAATGGGAATATTGATCCACACTAGGTCTGAGAGTGACTTAGGAGTGAACTGTTCTGAATCACACCACGACCTCTCCAACTCACAGCCCATTAATACCTGCAGCACAACTTTTGGTTTAAAATGCTCAGTAAAACTCCAGTCCGTTAGGCTGCGCTGCTGTGTTTTCTGTATGTCCTCTAACTCGGCTTCCACAGTCATCTTCTTGGGTTTCTGAAAAATCACACAATACAATTTCAACTTTACTACGTGTAAGTCCAAATGGAGCCCTTTTGGACTTCATCAGCTAACTGGCATGAACTTCATCTAATTGGGGAAATCTGCATATGCATAAATCCATATGGCAACATTTTAGGAGACCTGCTGCCAGAAAGAGTATGCCTTTGACTTTTTTTTTATAGGCAACATAATCTAAATATTTTTATTGTTAGGTTATACTCTTCTGAGTCCTGTTAGCAATTACAGGCAGGTTTTCTGAACTCACTTCAAGACAGTATTGGTTCTACAGGGCTGTATGGCCAGCAGGTGTTTGTGAGGTTGCCAAGCCACATTGTCTAGAGAGGAGCATGGAGCTTGGAAGTTTTGCTTAATCGGACGAGTGAAATTAACTCCTTTCTCTCCGGCTGGAGCTGGTCTGGGGGTTTCTGAATAATCTTCCTCCTTCTCTGGCATCTGCATTCTCTTGCCAAGCATCTTTTTTTTTTAAATGTTTTTTATTCTGGGTCACGTTTTTCTTCGATGATCTTACTTGTCTCTACACTTTTAGGAAAGCAATTTCTTACCTTTTCAAGAGAGTCGGGCTTTGTGACTGCTTCATCTTTGATCTCACTGTTCGTGGTCTGCTCTGTAAATCAAAGACACCAACATCCAGTTGGGTTTGGGCTTTGTTCTTGCCTTGTCAGTGCTGTGCCTTTTTGTTGCCCAGATGATGTATGTTTCTGTGCTGAAAAGGTAATTCCTGAAAGGCATGTTTCATGCCTCCAAAAAGGTGTTTGTGTCAATAACTCTAAATCAGTGTCTATCTAGAAAAGTGATACTAATCCCTTTGAAAAGAACCCAGTTTCCTATATATACATTCCTAAATCATATCAGAGATGCTGACTTCAGACTGCACCACTCACAACTATGTACCTTTACCTTGACGAGTTGCAAATGTTTATTAATTAAATGGTATCAACTGTTTAGTACACACTGTCTGTCTTGTCATGCTGCCAGAGGATCACAAAAGATCAAAAGGATCACAAAGCCTTTTCAAAATTCTGTGGGTCATATCTCGGGAGTAACAGACTAGGTCAGGGGCAGGGGATGTATGGAAAAGAGAACAACCAGACAAATGCACTCTGGTGAGAAAATGGTATGGTTTCACCATCCTGCAATGCTCTTCTTCCATTCATTAGTCATTTATTAATCTAAAAGCATTTAAGGAGCATCTGTAGATGTATAGAGTTTAACAAAAGTTAGTTAAATGAATGGGTAGCTGGACTCCATGGAACCATACCACGGACCAACATGAGTCAGGCACACTATGATCCTTGGCTGTGGAGCAAACAGCCATGTGAATGCAGAGAGAGAACAGATTCACGTTGCTGATTTTGCATCACCAGGCTTTCATAATTCCTAAAGTTAACAATGTTACATAGAAAGAGGAGGTCCATGATCAATTAGTTTAACATGGATAAACAAGCATCTTTACTGAGAACACCTCAGAATTTGCAATATGCTCTTGTGATTGTGTATCTCTAATAGAGAAATAGATACAGTATATAGCATATTCCAAATCTGACCAAAGTAATGGAGTAGGGGATGAATCTTGGAAGATACTTGTGGTGCTGCTGAATCACGAGCCAACCTGCCTTTTTATCACCCTTAGAATAGAAAATTAATACCTATAAAGTAATATACGAAAGGGCTCCAGCCTCTCTCCCCAAATGCACCTCCCTGCACTCTCCCCTGCTCATCCCACTCCAGACTCACCAGCCTGCTCGCTGTGTCTTGAGGCTTTGCCCTTGTTTTTCTCCATCTCACATGCTTCGCTCTGAAATATTCATGTGTTTCAAACTCTTACTTCATTCATATTGTTACCTCCTCAAAAGCCTTCTGCCTCATACTCTGCTTTAATTTTAATCATGGGATTTATCGCTGCCTGATACTATTTGTTTATGTCTGTCTCTCCATCCCCAGCATGAATTCCTGGAGGACAGCTTTGTCACATTCCCCTCACTGTACCCCGAGCACCAGCATATGGTAGGAACTTAGTAAATATGTGTGTGTGTGTGTGTGTATGTAATTGAAGGGGGAATTTTCATCATATTTTGAAACTGGGAATGTATGTAGAAAGAGCAGAAATGTGGAAGAAACCCTACAAAAAAGTTTATTTTGGGGTAAGCATAAGATTTGTGGCAAAGAGAACCATCCCTGGGCTTCCAGGGGAGCAGTTAATCATGTCTAACAAGAAAGGGACAATGTTCTTCTTTCTTTTAGGAGAATAACTGCTTACATTTTCACTTCTAGTTCCATTTTGCCTTGGGCTGCTGCAGGTGACAGCGTGAATGTTCCATTTTGATTTAGAGTAAAACTATAAAGTCAATTCAGTATTTATTTAAATACATCCACTCAAGAGAAAAGTCAGGCCAACTATAACTCTAAATAGACCATGATGTCCCATGTGTCCTTGAAGCAATTGATATGAAATCTGTGGAATAAAAATTATTCTATTCTGTGGTCTGCCAGATTTCCGGGAGATTTGATACTCCCTTCTGTGTTTAAGGATCCAGCAGAAAAAGTCTCCAGTTTAGAAAATATGTTCTAAAAACTTGTGCATCAGTTATTTTGTCAAAGGAACGAACATCCACAAACTAATCTGAACTCTGTATTTAACAGCAGAGCAAATACCATTTTTTCTTTCTTTCTGATTTCTGCCTTCAACCGCGTAACCCTTTGACAGTGTGATTCAGTAGTTTTTGACACATCTGGAAATGGATGCGTTCTCATGCCTTTGAAAAACAGCTTTCCTAATCTGTTTTACTTTAGAGATAACAAGATCCCTCTGCAAAGCAGTTACTTTATTAAAAAAACACCCAACAAGCATAAAGGGCACATCTAAACCTATAGCCTCACGGTTATCAACTCTCAGTTTTTCATAAATATCCAATAGGCCCTGTCAAGTTCAAAAACAGTCTCAGATGGAAATCCAGTGTTTGGTTAGGAAAAGCACAAATATTCAGACCTTCATGTCCAGGAGAAGGCTTTTATATGTATTTGATGCTAAGATGGCTGTGCAAGAAATACATGAACAATTTCTGCTTTGTTTGAAAAGATTGAAAGTGGCTGTTTTAGAAGTGTAGTTCATAGTTAAGGGGAAAATGCAAAATCACAACAAAAAACTCCTCTCATACACAATAGCCACAGTGAGGCACTGGGCTTCCACTGCCCTCCCCCATTCAAACGGAACACCTCCTTGAGGTGGGCCAACACAGGCCATGCAGAATCCCTTCCAAGTCATGGCTTTAGCTCTCAGGACTGCTCAGCCTCCAGGAGACGCTGGTAATTTTCAGCCCTGATCATTTAGGAAGTTGCCATAACTATCTACTTTCCACCAGGACCCAGAGTGCCAATGTATGTGGTTTGACCACCAGGTGGCAAAAGTTGCCTGAGGAAAAACCGTGTATCAGTCTCTCCAAAGGAAAAAAGGCAAAAGCAAAACAAAACAAAAAACAAAGGAAAATCCTCAGGTCTTACATCGCTCCTGGCTTCTTCTGGCTCCATATTAATTCAAAGTGACTTATCTGTCATCCGTGTCTTTTCCCATAATATGCACTAATGCTATAACACCACTTGTTAACCTATTTGGCTTAATTTTTTGTGAGCTAGGATAATATATATTAGTTCTGATTATATTTAAAATTAAGTTATAATAATATAACTCATAATTACCTTTTTAAGTAATTAAAAATGCACTATTATCTACTAAGGTAAGAATGGACTAAGAGGCTTTAGGATATTTTGAAAACCAAGGGTTGAAATAAAGAGGATTTCCTGAATGACAACACTCAGTAACAGTTTAATTACCCAAATAATTTAGATATTAAACAGTTTTTCAACTGAAATAGAGAGGAATTTAAATAATGCATCTTGAATCACTTTTTTGGCTTATACATCCTTAATAGTGTCTACACACACGCTTACTTACCCAAAGATTCAGATTGTTGCTGAGTCTCCAAGCTGGTCTCCTGCTCTGACAGCTCTCTGCTCTCAGGGCCTAAGAGTTTCTCATTATTTGGATCAGAATGCTTCATATTGTCAGCATCAGGTTGACTAGGATCTGAAGGTTCTTTATTGGTCTCACTATCTTGCACAGATGTTGGCCAATTCTGATTAATAAATAAAACTCTGTCTTTGGTTTCAGCATCTAATCAGTGTAAAGAGGATTCATGAGCTACTATAGTACAAAAACTAACAACCACAAAATGCCAAGAATGTCTTTCATTCCCTCCATGCAATGTACCTGCTTCGTGTTTGGCCTCTTGGGTGCTCATTTTTGCGATGTGCTGTTGCCTTATTTGTTTAGCAAATCTGGCAGGGTTGTCCCATGGTATGTTGAACACCTCAGAATCTGTCCCATACATTTTCCCAGAATGCATTAATTTCCCTTCTTCATCAACCTCAGAGAGTTTTAGGCTCTCAAAAGTAAACACTTTGAAGGCTCTTTCTACTTCATTCCAGCTCAAAGGTTCTGTAAGAAAGCAGGCCATATGCTGCCAGGAATGCTCTTATTACCATATGGTACATGGCAGACAGAGGGACAGCCAGGGGACCTGTTCACCAGAGTAACAAGAGAGTCACACCATGAAGGGTGTTGACCTATCTAACACGGGCTCACAATTCTACAACCAACATCGAAGGTACCTAATGATATGAAAGCCGCATAATCAGCATACAGTTTATCAAGATGACTCTCCCCAATTGCCTCAGAGCTTAATAAATATTAGGTGTCCAGATTAATTCACACGGACTTTCCAGGGTACTGTATTGGTTGAATATGCTTAAAATTCACCTTTTTAAGCAAAAGCACCCTTGCTGCCATTGTAATTGAAAATTCACTCCCTTGTGTCTAACATGCTGTTACATCCAGTAGGATTTCTTCTTCACGGCGATTCAGAAGAGGCCTCCTTCCAGGCACCTGAACAGGTGCTGCCCTTTCCCTAATGCACTTCAAAGGCCATCAGCTTTCAGTGGGCTCTGTTCATTTGCATATTTATTCTCTTACACACAAGGGTATCTATCCAGCCACTCACTCGTTCGCTCATTCATTCTTGTTTTCTATGTATTAGGCTTTCTCATAGGTGCCTGAGACTCAAAGAAAAGATTTGGTTCTTGCACTTCAGAAATCTAAGGTGGGAGGTAGGTATTAACACCTAATCATGTAAATCTATATAAAAATATTTCGTAATTTGTGTAGAGTTAGAGAAGGGAGGATCTGCACATGCTATTCTCTTTTCTTGTCACACAGGGATTGCTAGGTAATTTCCTACCCCTTCTCACCAGGAGGGCTATATCTGCACACTGCCTTAGTGGAAGCGGAATTTGTTTTGGGGCATGACTGTCTATAACAAAGAATTCCAGCAAACTCTGCAATGGGAAGCTGATTTTAGGTATTCTTTTTCTTCATATTTTTATTGATTTTTTTAGAGAGAGAGGAAGGGAGAGGGAAAGACACATGGATCGGCTGCCTCCTGCACTATAGCCCCCTACTGGGGATCGAGTCCACAACCTAGGCATGTGCCCTGACAGGGAATCAAACCGGCAACCTTTTGGTGCAGAGGACAGTGCCCAACTAACTGAGCCACATCAGCCAGGGCAGATTTTAGGTATTCTTAATGAGCCCTCTTTTCCACTGTCCTCTAAGAGCATAAAATGGCCCTTCCTGTCATGAGAGGAGGTTCACTGGAATCAACACTCTCAGCACCACAGAGACAGGAGGCTCTCTCACCCAGCTATCCTCCCAGCTAGGACAGGGATTACCACACCATCTCCAGTGACGTCAGTGAGGGGATATGGCGTTGGGGGCAGGGAGCAGGAGAAAAGAAGAAGATCGTTCTTGTTATGGAAACACAGTAGAGAGAAAACCTGGTGCAGCAAATTGAAGAAGGTTAAGCATCGCATTGCTAACAACATGATTCAAGATGAGAAAATTGTAGTCAATCTAAATCCCCACCCTCAGCCTCTAACAGGCCTTTCAACAATCAAAGTGCTTTTGGGCATAATCTTAAGAGGCACAGATGACCCTAAAGGAACGAGTTTAAGCTAAGACAAAGCAATGTACTCACCATTTGTACAAAAGTGCATGAGCTCGTGAATTGCAGCTAGACGTCTTGTGCTGTTCCATGGTGGGGGCAGAGGGAATTCGAGGAATTCCCACAGTGGCAACTTGGACTGCATCTCCCGCTCTATTCGAACCGGGTCGATATCCTTTTGGTCCTGATGACAAAGAGCAGCATGACAGAAGACATTAGAGTAAGCTGCCAAGCGCCTCATGCATATGGAGAAAGCAAAACATAATACCTCCCCTCTCATTATTTGGGAACAGGGGAAATCACTGGTAATTGGGGAAGACAAACTATTGGTATTTTGCTGAGGGTCAAAAAAGCTAGTTCTCACTTTGCCAGAGGTTCCTGGCGCATAGAAATGACAGATTCTTCATCCACAGTAACAAACTGCCAAAGTCTCACATGTACTCATCTCTCCCTTCTGAGAGTCTTTTCTGGCCTCCACTAGTTTTTCATATTAGCAGATATTTAAAGCAAATAGCTCTAAAGTTTTAATGCAAATTTGGTGTAGTCACAATGAACTGAATGGTTAATTGGACCACTATCATCAGGCAAGTTTTCCTTGCTGGCATAATTTCTCCCTGACCAGTCTCCATTTTCTGAGACCTCACTTTGCAAATAGGCATTCATTTTGTATAGTATGTGTAATTAGCACTGGTAAAGCCATCACATTAAGATTTCTTTAACTGAAGAGTTACAGACGGGCCTTCCCGCGCCAGTCGCCCTCCGGGGGGCCGGTCATCGGTACCTTCAGTGCGTACTCCTTGTGGGCTAATGCGTCGTGGTAGTTCAGCAGCAGAGGGCCTTTGGGCACAGCTTTGCTTTCACTGTCTTCTTCAGGTAAAAATATTTTATGGAGGTTCTATTCAAATGGAAATAATATTGATTTAAAGAGAGAATGGATTCTTTTCAAAGCACACAAGCACTCTGTCTCAGGCCACCGACCTTTCTCTCCCGCTCGGTGAGGCAGAGGGAGGGCAGGATGGACAGGATGTGCGCCGCGATTCTGCGGTCCAGCCCGTCCGCTCTGGGCCGCAGCTCCACCAGGCTGGGTGGCACGAGGTCTTTCTCTGTTGCCTCCACCTGTGGAGATAAAGGGTCGGGAGGAATGGGTTTAATGGCCAGCTCTTTATTGATATTTGCGCATCTCCACTGCTCTTACTAAAAGCAAGGCAGTTTCCACCAAGAAAGTCCAGTGTTCACACAAGGTGGCCGTGTGTGACTACCAGTGACTACCAAGCAGAGGGGGAAATGTTCACAGTCCATGCGAAGGAGTAGGTGTCGCTTTAATACATGTATTAGAACAGGCAACAAAATACGAGTGGTAAACAAGAAAATTTACCATGATAGAAATTGAAAGAACAATTTAATTTTCTCTTAGTAATTTACTCTTTCTCTGAAAGTAAAAGCGGGCTTACACGCCTTGACTTAGGAACATTTACTGAGCACCGCGCGGTACACCTTCCCTTGCGCGGCTCACCGAAGCCCCACAGCAGTGCTGTGGGTGCAGGAGATGCTGTTTCCATTTCACAGAGAAAGAAACCAGGGCGAGTAGTTAGGGGACTGGCTCGGGCCCGAGGCTCCTGCCTGGGAGGAGCAGGGGTCAGGCCAAGTCCCCACTCTTTCTCCAGGATAGAAAAGTTCTAGACGCAAGGTCAGTAAAGGGTGACAGTTTCCTGCAGAAGGAGAAGGTGAGATCTAGGAAGATTCGTGCCTTGTACAGTTTTACCTGGTAAACAAAAGAAGTTGAAATACCATCAAGATAGGCACCTAACTTACCGCTCTTCTCTTCCTGTGGGGAATGTTATATAAAGTATTCCAGGGCAGAGCAGAAGAAAGGGGACTGAAGCTGATGATGACAGCAAACCTTAGTTTTATTTAAGAGGTTCTGATCTTTGTACAGGAGGAGGCACTCAGGTATTACGTATGCAATTTTTAAATCGTTTTTAAAAAACGGAAGCCAGGAGAGATGCAGTGACTGACTGGAGTCACCCGCCTACCTGTTCCAGCATACAGTGCAGTATCAGGGCCACAGAAATGAATTCTTCAGGAATGGGATTCAGCAGATCATTGTAATATCTCATGTCTACTTCCGGCGTGATGACGGAAGCCACTGGAAAGCAGACAGAACGTCATCGCTCAGTCAAGATGCACTCTCCATGTCTCCCATCAACACCTCGGCCACCAATGAGACCGTGACCCTGCCCTGGCAAGTGGAGGGTGTGGAAGGGGGTGCTGAAGCACTGCGGAGCCCCCTCCCGCTGTTCCCTACAGCCCCGCCCCGCCTCGATCCTGCAACAACACGTCTCGCACGTGCCTGCTGGGGGTGCTTGCGGTTCCTCGTTTTGTGCTTTCTTCTTCCCAGGGGTCGGAGCAACAGGTTGCGGAGCCTGAAGGAAGAATTAAAAAGAAACAACTGAGATGCCCAGCTGGGAGATGCTCCCATCAGATGCTGCTCTGATGCGATCTGACAGGATCCTGAGGTTGTAGGACCATGTTGGCAGCACAAAATCATTTGCTGGTGTTGGGCTCAAACCAAAGCAAGCAGTAATGGGTGCAGACACTTCTCCGTTTTCCTGATGGAGCCTGCCGAGCACCGGCTGGGATGTGATGGGGAGATGGGGCACTGAGAATCAAGAGGGTTTTCTTCCCTGGGTGACCCAGAACACTGCCATTCTCCCTCTGGGAGGCCGTCAGCGGTCCCCATCACCCCAGGATGGGACTAAGGCTCCACCACAGCGCCAGTGGGCTTTCCGGCTCCCGCCCGGCCAGCTTCAGGCCACGCTCTGTCCACTTTGCCTGGACGGCAGGGGCGCTGACCTGCCCCGCAACCGCAGTCCTGGGCCGTGCCCTAATATTCTCTTCTCTGGCCTCCGTGTCTTCAGACATCTTTGCCCCTTTCTGGGAATAGCAGTCTGTCCCTTTCCCTCACCAGGTTTCCCCAGGCGACACATCCCCGCATCCCCAGCCTTCGCCAGGCCACTGGCCCCGCCTGGTAAGGTTTTGCTGGTTGCTCGCTCCCTCCTGCCCCCCAGGTCAGGGAGGACGCCACGTTTAATAGCTTCTGCTTCTGGGCTGACCTCGCAGCACCCATTGTGCTGTGGAAACTGCCCTTCACTTGGCTGCCATCCCCTTTAAGCGTTAGCCTCCGTGAGGACGGGATGAGTCTTGCTCGCTGCTGCATGCTAAGTGCTACACAGACATCGTGACAACTTATTGACAGCGCTCCTTGTTCCAGATACCACTCACTGTGCCACGGGCCGGAAACGGTGCGGCACCTCTGCGTGTGGCAGGTGGCTGGGGACACGGGTGCCCTTTCCTACTGCCCCTGCGGGCCTTTCCTTCTTCCCATCCTCACCTGTTAAATCCCAGCAGGCAGAATGACCTTGCTACAAGTATTTATATGATGTTTTCTTCATATGTTTTATAAGCGTGAAAATTAAGTTGTTCAGTTAATTATTCAGTCTGCTCAAGACACTCGAGCACGTGCCTACCTCAGGAATCAGCGTGGCTTCTAAGACCGGTTTCTCACTAACCACCTGCGGGACATTAATCAGCTGCATGCTTGCCAAATAGTGCTGGTGCTGCCGTTTCCAGTCCAGGGTGTCGTACATCAAACAGGCGATGCTTTCAAAAATAATGGTGCCCAATTCCAGCTACAGGTGACAGAATTAATGAAAATTAGTTATTAGTTTCATATTGTTGGAATCAGATGTATTGTGTGTATAGACCCTAACAGCTAAACCTAACCCTTAAAATTTTTTTTTAATTTTTCAATTACAGTTTACATCAAATATTATTTTGTATTAGTTTCACGTGTATAGCACAGTGGTTAGACAATCATACACTCTACAAAGTGCTCCCGCTCATATTTCCATTACTCACCTGGCACTGTATTATTGACTATATTCTCTATGCTGTACTTTACATTCCCATGACTATTTTGTAACTACCAATATGTACTTTTTAATTGCTTCACCTTTTCCACCCTGACCTCAATCCCCCACCCCTCTGGCAATCATCAGTCTGCTCATTGCATCTGTGAGCTTGTTTCTGTTTGTTTTGTTCGTTTACTTTGTTCTTTAGTTTCTACATATAAGTGAAATCATGAGGTATTTGTCTTTCTGTGACTGACTTATTTCACTTAGCACAATACCCTCTAGGTCCAACTATGCTGTTACAAATGGTAAGATTTCATTCTTTTTTATGGCTTAGTACTCCATTGTGTAAATGTACTACAACTTTTTATCCACTCATCTATTGATAGCCACTTGGGTTGCTTCCAAATATTGGCTATTGTAAATAATGCTGCAGTGAATACAGGGGTACGTGTATTTTTTCTAATTAGTGTGTTGGGATTCTTCAGATATATGCCCAGAAGTCCCATCACTGGGTCAAAAGGCAGTTCCATTTTTAATTTTGGGGAGACCCTCCACACTGTTTTCCATAGTGGCTGCACCAATCTGCATTCCCACCAACAGTGCTTGAAGGTTCCCATGTCTCACTATTTGATTTACTGATGACAGCCATTCTGACAGGTTGAGGTGATATCCCAGTTAAATCTATCACTTTTCACAGGAAAGGACTGTCCCCAACCACAGAATCCCAGCCACGATGACTAGGTCTTCACTCATTGAACCCTTCTTGCTCTTCTTGTCCCCTCCCCTTGGAGGGCCTAATATTGTAAAAGCCTAATTATGCCTGAACTAAGTGAAAAGCACTCTATTCATTAGTTTCAGCAGCATGGCTTATTTTCTAGGTATCTCAGTTCCTAGAACAACACATTAGGTAATTTCGATGTCCTTAGCCCAAGACAAGCTATGGCTGACTCTTGCTCGGCTAGGCAAGCAGCACACTAGGAAACACCCGCTCAGCTTTGACACCATCCCTGCGAGTGTGCTAAAGTGTAAGTGCAATCAACACTCCTTCCTTTCCTCCCTGCCCCTCTCTTCTTTCACCTGTGCTACCTTAAGGGGAAAAAAACCAAAGAAATCCCTAAAGACTACTGCTCCTATAATACCCACAAGTTTATGATCTGGCAGGTAAGTTATAAATCAAATACTTCTATTATCTGGGCTCTCATTTCCAGAAGTAGAAAGGCACAGTTACTTCCAGTCTGTCTGCTTGAAAGCAAAGGGGAAATAAATAGGAACATCCTATGTCTGAGGTTAGAGGTACAGCAGAGTGAGATAGAGGTAAGGTACAGTGAGATAGGTTCTAGTGGGGCCCATGAATTGCAGTCTGACTAGAGTCCAGGGCAGTGCCTAGCTCTGCCCATCTTCATAGCACAGCTGTCAGTCTGGGCTTCGTGTGCCTACCCTAATATTGAGTATTCTACAGTTAGGCTTCAACCTGGTATTCTTTGCCCGAAGTCTGGCAATATGTTTTTGTTTGTTTGTATTTTAAGAAATGTAGTAAAACTTCTGCCCAATAATCCCTTAGCCTAACTAGTTAATTTATTTTTAAATCAAACAGCAATTCATATGCTAAAAGGCAGAAAATTATTTCAGCAACCAAGGTCTTAACTTGAGATGTTACAGATGTCTTACTTAAGCAGTTAGCACTTCTTGATGGGCACTTATTTGATATAAAGCTTTCGTTCCCTTGGTTGAGCAGAAATACAGCCTGCCTGTGTGCAGCCAAAGGTACTAATGCTTCCCTTCTTCCAGAGAGAAGATGCCGCCGTGGCTGGCTCCTGCCTTGATATGAGGCCATTGTCAACTTACAGACACAGCCAAGAGTGCGACACCATGTATCAGTACCGTGTATCCAGTCTACTTCTACTGGAAGTAGCTGTTTTTATAAATTGATTTTTAGAGAAATGGGGGGGAGGGAGAGAGAGAGGGGAGAGAGAGAAACATCGATTTGCTGTTCCACTTATTTAGGCATCATTGGTTGCTTCTTGTATGTGCCCTGACAGGGACCAACCCCATAACCTTGGTGTTCAGGACAACACTGTAACCAGCTGAGTCACCCGGCCAGACTCATCACCTACATCTCACTCTTGGTCCTTAATTTACACACTAAAAACTATAGAATCAGGCTGTAGCCATTATTGGTCACTCAGTGTTATCACCGTCTTGAAGAGAAAGGAGAAAACCTTATCTATAATCAGTGGTCAATAAATATCTGTGGAATGAGTGGATGAACGGGGTAATGGGAGCCCAGCGTCACAGGTCACGTCACTCACTCATTCACTGCGGGTACTGACCATCTTCTCGCTGTCCGACCAGTCGGCAGGAAAGTCATCTGCCTTGACCGTGTATTTAAACTGAGCAACATCAAAGAGATTCGTTTCAGGTTTCTCATTATTCAGGATTGGTTCCAAGTACTTCCAGAAAATAGCAAGCTCTTTGATGGCATTCTCTTTCTTCAATTTTTCAGCTTCTATATCTAATAATGGCAACATGTTTATAGTACAAAGTGAGAGTGCTGAATTTCTTCCCGCTTTAAGTGAACATGGCAAGTCCTATGCTTTGCAAGATGTCTTTACAGTATCAGGAAAAGCAAATAAAAAAATGTAATTTTGAGAAGACTTTACGATTATGGACTATACGATTATGAAATCAAAGGATTTTACTTCTGAAATTGGTATTAAATATGAGCTTATCCCACCCCCTTCATCCTATAGTTGAGGCCCAGAAAGGTTATGATAAGAGTACATATTTTCGGAGCTGAGATGTTCAATATTTTCTTCACTCTTAGATGCATTTGTATAGAAGAGGTTTTCTGTCCAATCACGTTTTGACCACGTTAGTGTCTACTTGCCGCAAACCTGGTTGGAAATGCAAATGATTTGGTTGTCCTTTCCCACATGGCTAAAAACAACCTGGGTCACGGATTTATGCTCCAGTTAACTCTTGGTCATATTAAAAGAGCTACTGGCCTCTCTGGGCAGTTGGGATCTTACTATAAAATAATAATAGTTTTCCAAAAAGTTATACTTGAAAATTTGAAATATTTGTGTTTATTACATCCATAGCTAAATAGGTTTCTACTACCAAGATCTCATTAGTCTACTGTAAAGGTTATTTTTCTATTATTTACTTTTATAAATTAAATACTTTGTATAGAGAGACTGAAGTTTTCACAGCCTTTTTCCCCACTGGCTACAATAATGAGTTATTTAATGTCACAACTATCTTTGAAACAGAAGTATCTGGGTTTGAATCTCTCCTCTTACTTAATAGCTGCCTCCAGGTTGAGAGTCCTTTTTGGTAAAATGGAAGCAACACACATTTCTGAGGGTGGTTGTGAAGACTATGGGAACCATTGCATGTGTCTAATAAATGATAGCTATTATTATTATCAGTGGTAGCAATTTCTTACTTGGAACAGGAATTTAAAAAATGTAGTGTTATAGAAATAGGGATGTGGCTGCGTAAGTTACAAAACACTGTGCAAATGATATTATTAATAAATAACAATAAAAGTAACAGCAGACAGCAGGAAGAGCTTGGACTTCTAGGTCATGCAGAACTGCCCACCAAAGCCCCGTTCTACAGCCTTAAATACGCAGCAGTACTTGGTTCCCTGCCCGCACAGGTAGTTGAGCACAATGCCCTCAGATGAGGACCTCTAGGCTCCAACAGCTGAACGGTAGTGTGGTGGCGGTTTCACCCCACAACATGCTACTTTAAGGCCCGGAAGAGAAGGCTCCCTTTCTGACTCATCACAACAGACCAGGAGCAAAGCAGAGCAAGCATCCAGCGCCAGGATCCCCTGGGCCACTTGGTGGCTGTGGCTTCTGGGAGAGTGGGTTCTCTGCAGTCCACCTATCCACCCCATGCTTTAGGCAAATGTTACAGATCAAGTGTTCCTGAGGAATGAGTTGGACGGCCGAGCCTTCTGCCCCGCAGCCTATGTTCTCCGTGGCTACACAGCAATATAAACACAGAACATGATTTTAATTTGCGAAATTTACAGCCCCTGGCTAGTGAAGCAGAACAGAAAGCGATCAAAGCCTTGGAAGGATTTAATAACGTGTGTGTCATCTGACCGTGTTTTGGACAGGAGCTCGTATTTGGCCTTTAAGGACAGTGGGGCTACGGACGGATGCGGCGAGCTGTGCAGCAGGCTGCGTACCTTCTGGCTGGAGGAAGCCTTCCTGCTGCTGGCTGGCTGCTGCCAGGTGTGTCTGCAGAGGCTCGTAGTTCTCCGCAGATATTTTAATCACGCTGCTGATGGGAACGCCGAGCTCCGTCATGATGGCTAATAGCTGAGGGTGACTGAAGCCCACAACTATAATGTAATGCTGGGCACCATCATCTGGCTCGTCATCTGTTCAAAATACCAGAAAGCACAGGGGGCGTCGCTGTGAGAGAGAACAGGTTGCCCCCGCCAGCTCCCTGGCCGCGTACATTACGCGTGCGTTTCCAATCCCCGGGCTTGCCAAGAGCAGCCCCGTTGGCTGGAATGCAGTCCTGTTGACTGGTTCTCATTACCGCCCTTCCAGTAAGAAGGCTGTGGCCATTTTACAAAATATTAAATCACTTTTGCAAATGAGACATGGGCGCAATAGAAAGACAAGCATACATGGGGCCTGTGGTCATGGAAAATGTGTGCTTGGGATTTTTTTCTTTTTTTCTTTTAAGTTTAGGCTGTGATTTTTTTTTTTCTTCTTCTAATCTCTTTTGAGCAACATCTGGATTTACTCCTGAATTACGAGTAGCTGCAGCTTTGTGGTATTTTATAAGGAGAGGTGTTTACAGGAGAGGGAAATATTGAATATGGACATGCTCCCCACCAAAGTATTCTGTGTATTTATGTCAACAGGTGTGAATGCTGAGTGTGGGTTATGCAACTGTCGAGAGTAGAGGGTCCCTCAAAACACTGTATCCCACAATAGCCCACTACGATCAATTTTAAAAGAACGCAACAGATGCATACACTTTTAATTCTCAAGTGATGATTTTTACTCATCACTAAGCAAACCAGCACTGGTGCTGCCCTGGAACCCATGATGGCACTGCTTCTAAGCCAAGTGCATTTAGAGCAGGACGTACAGGGGAGGGAGGCTGGTGAAGGACGTGAGGGCCGCCCCCTCATTTAAATCAGATGCAAATAATAACAGGTACGTCCGTTTGGATTCGTGGGAAGGCAGCAATGGATTACTCACAGCTGTCTAGCGGAAATCCTTTTTATATCAACCACCCAAACGGGAGAAATCTCAGTTGCTCTACGGAAGCTGGGAGTGGGAGAAGTGGAGGTCAGGAAGCTCTGTGCTCTGCACGAGCCCCACAGTAACTGGTCTGATTTTGCTACCGCTGTGTTTCACTCGTGACAATAACCACTTCTTACTTTGCCTTATAATTACATGACTTTTAAAAATGTTCCCAACAAGATAGCAAGCTGCCTGGTGCCACAATCAGCCCATATTTCAGCCTTTACGTGCTGTGCGTAAACATGCCCAGAGCAAGACAGGAGCTAAACAGACACTTGCTGAAAACACGAGTGAAGTGCGAACAGAACTGCTTTCTACCGGGGAGTCGCGGGCAGCATGTGACAGAGGGGTTGAGGGAGGGGAAGGCCGGAGAGCCGAGCCGAGCTCCTGGGACGGTGCTCCGAGTTACCTCGCGGCGAGGCTGAGGGCAAGGAAGCCGGGGCAAGGAGCCGCACTGACCCATGTAAACCTTGGCGTCCGCGTCCTCTCCCCGCCGCTTCAGCTGCGTTATCTTCTTCGCGGCCACGCTCGCCTCGGGCTGATCCTTCCCCTTCCCTTTGGCCGCCTTGGCGTCCGCCTTCTTCTCCTTGGGGGACCTGGCCTTCCCTTCATCCTTCTCGGCCTTAAACCTCTCCTCTGCCACCTGCAAGAGAGCACAGCTTGCCGCCCAATCGCGCGAGCGGGCAGCGGCTTCACTGCCGGGCGTCACCGTGCGTTTCACTCGGTCGCTTGTTCACTCACGTGTCCAACCCTCAGGCCAGGACAGTGGACATCCCGGGCTGAGCCCGAGAGGCCAGGGGCCCACCTAGGCACAAGGGGTGGAGGGTGCACACGGCCTTGGGCCTTGGGGCCTGGGGCAGGGCATTCATCTGAAGGGTTGAGTCAGGCAGGGCCTAGCAAAGCGCCAGGCGCCGAGGACACTGTGGAGGCAGGCACTTCGGTTAATCACAAGCCTAACCTGGCGGAGTCGCTGAGTCCCCGAGGCAGGTGGGGTTATTAACAAAACAAAATGCGAAGGAAAAAACAGCAGTTTCTCTAAAATCTCCTTGATAAAGTTTTCATAGTTTAAGTAATGTAGAGACTACATTGAAAGATTAAAAGATTCTTTTGAGAACCCAGCACTAACAAGTTCTTTTTATGATACTGCTGCTTAAAAATGTGTAGACATAATCGGTGGTTGCGATTTGACACTCTCGAAGGAGGGAAAGCGAAACATCAGTTGGCAATACTGGCTCCCTGCACGCTGTGTGGAGGCAGCCGAGCCTGCCAAGCGCCATGCGAAGGCCCCATCTTCCCACCACTTTTCTCAAACAACTGCTGAAACCTTCGCGCATTATTTCATATCATACTGCATTCATGCTTTCAGTGCATGTGTTATGAGTACAAATAAGTTGCGCTCCCTGAAAGGATGCTGTGGAACTGATCATAAGGGGGCCATACGTAAGGTCCAGAATATGCCTATATTATTTATGTTTTCCACATTCAACAAAATTGGACACAAAAATAACTGAACAAATTATTATAACAACAATACAGGTGGGCTCTGCATTTTCCCTAGGTCATGACATCAAATTTGAAAGCCTCTGTTCTAAGACGTCAGAGACACGGGGGAGACATGTCGCTTTGGCCCCCAGGGAACAGAAGGGAACAGAATGGATCACAGGAGGGGAAAGAGCTTTTCCCTCCTCTTCTTGGGATCCTGGAGAAGGCAGGGCTGACCACAATCAAAATTTCAAAATGAGCAGTATTAGCAGAGAACTGGCAATGGAATATGCTTTCCATCTTTAATTTGTTCTCTCGAAGGAACCTACAATGCTAATTGCATTCCCATCGTGTCAATTAAGACACAGTTTGTGCTCAGACACAGCTGTGGTCGAGACACAGGCTGGCTTGATGCAAACCCTAAGCGCGTTTTATTTCTGTGGTTCTCTGGTTGGTCTCAGTCCCTGATGTCCCCTCACCTCCTTTCCATGCCTGTCTGCCCTCCCCCTGCTCTGTCTTTCGAGCAGCTGAAGGATACTGGCTGGAAGCTCTTTAGCTTCACCACAGTGCTTCCCTCCCTCTCTCTCTCTCCCTCTTCCCTCCCTCTCTTTCCCTCCTTCCCTCTTCCCTCTCCCTCCCTCCATTCTCTACTCCCCCTCTCTCCCCCATCTGTCTTCCCTCCCTCCTTTCACAAAAGTATTTTAAAAATACCTATAAATGTTGATTCACTTCTTTAAATGATTTTTTAAATTATAAAAATAATCATGCTGGAAAATTTGGGGAAAAATAAAGAGAACTTACAAAAATCACCATAATTCCACCATCCAGAGATGATGAGTGGGAGATGATATTTAATGCATTCTTTCAAATTTTGTTTATGCATCAGTTTTACATAACTGTTACTGTTCTCTCTAGACAACTTAGTGTTATGATTTTCCATTAAACAATGATGCGTCTTCAGTTGGTAGGATTTCAAGAGGTATTACCATGTAAAAATTTCCCAGGTAGAGCAACTATATATGCGCTGTATGGTAGCATCTGAGTGTTCAAAAAGCTGGCCCCTCCTAAATCATAAACTAAAATGTGTTGACCCCAACTTCTTTGACCGTTTTAGCTTCTGGATAACGTAGCATGTGGGTTCTTATTGACTCTATGGTGATCTGCTCACAACTTAAAGAACTCAGAGGCAACTCTGGCCAATTCAAGACAAAAATTTAGGAGGGGTGTACCCAAAAGGCCCCGCTTCCCACCATGCTTAGGGAACACATGTTCCCCAGCATGTGAAGGGAGAGTCGAGTTCATTACAGAGCACATTTCATTTAAAATGCACTGTGTACAAAAAGCATCTGGATGCCTCCTACTGCGAGAAGGCCTGGACAGGCATAGAGCTTTCCTAGCCAGTTAAGCGACATAGCAGACGGGGCTCTTGTCCCAGCGACTACCAAAAAAGTATTAGCATTTCATGCCCTCAGGTGAGTATCAAGTGACACCTATTCAGAATCCTTAATCTTGTTATTCTCACTTTTTTAAGGGGAAAATACAAATTCCCCCGGTCTGAGACAGAGTATTGCAGTTGTTTGATGCATCAAATATTTGAGATTGTATTTTGTTTCTAAGTAACTCCTTGATGTCTTTGCCCTGCTAAGCCTCACAATGGGTGGGGGGCAGAAGGCAGTGGAACGCAGGGTAAAGGGCTCTACTTCATCTTATTTTAGTTAACAGTGCTCTTGGTGTTTGTGTATAATTCTGTGCTTTATATGTTCTATCATAAGCTTTCTAGAAAATATTATTAAGGATATAGGTAAAAAGCATGCTCATGGAGGTCACGAGACTAAGCCATTCCATTATTATGTGGCTTATGAGGAGCGAGGTCTGTCTCCTGAGTGCCACTCTGGCTCTCTTTCAGGACAGCACTGTGTTCCAGAGACAATCTATTCTACTGGGCACAGGTGAGAGGACAAGAGATGGGCGGAAAGAAATATATTGTGTCAGATGAGTTTGAAAGGCAGCAGGCTGAAGAGACTTATTTTCCTGAAACCCCCCACCTGTAATAAGCTAATGTGCTATTAAATCTCTAAGACTTAACACAGTGATTTCCAAGTTCGTTTGACCAGTGGGCTATATTTCTTTCAGATGGAGAACAGAGTCTAAATGGTTCTAGAAACTACTTCGGATACACAAGGTTATGGGGACATTTGGGGGCCCAATTAATCAATTTCTAGAAACCTATTCTAAGGAAATTATCCAAAATATGAAGAATTCTGTACAATAAAGTTGTTCATCATAACGTTTTTATGAAAAAAATATGGAAATAGCTGAAATGCTCAACAATAGAGGAATGGTTAATAAAATTATGGTAGTCAGTAGAATATCCTATAACCAATAAATCAATAGATGTAAATGCTGTGGTAAAGAGTAAAAATTATCTTAATTTAAAAAAAGCTGAATAAAAAGTTTTACAATGATTGCAGCTATGTAAAGAAACAGATCCACAGAAAGGAACAGGGAATACAGCAGTTGTTGATAGGTCGAACATTTTGTTTTTCTTTTTCTATATTTTATTTTTATTCTTTGCCCTCTGCTCTCCTCCCACTTCCCTGACAAACAGAAAATACCATGGGTGGGATTTAGTTAGGAGCTCGCTTTTCTAGAGAACTGCTGTGGCGTAGAAAACACAAGCCTAGGAGTGTACTGGGTTCACTTGACCAGAGGATGCAGTCTTTAGATTGCATGTCCTGCAGCATGTCCCGAGGCCCAGATCCCAGTCCCCAGGGTGCAACCCTAACCCACAGAACAGAACCCGCCATGTGTGGTGAGGCGGTGGCTCTGATGTCTGATGTCTGCGTCCTGCAGTTTCCTGAGATTCAGAGGGGACAGCACCAGATCAGCCAATGTTATTTATTCTACACCTCAGTGATTTTCAACCTTTTTCTCATGTCACACATAAACTAATTACTAAGGCTCTGTGGCACACCAAAAAAATATATATTTTTTGCCAATCTCACAAAAAAAAATAGGTATAATTTTGTCATTCACTCTGGACAGCTATTGTTGTATTGGCTGTCGTCATTTTTTTATTTGGCAATCTAAGGGGAAAGAGGTCACTGCCCCTGACTCACAGTCAGGTATTGCACGTTTTAAACATTCTTGCTGCACGCTGGTTGAAAATCGCTGCTCTACACCAACATCCAGAAGGGCAGAGAGAAGGGGCAAGAATGTCTGGAATAATCTCAGAAGTCTGTCTAAGAGATTCCCCCAGAGACCAGGTCATTTCTGGGTGTAAGGGGGTGGAGGGCCGGGAGCAGGACTGGAAATGAAGTCAGGATTTCCTTGGGAATTGGTGGCTGCTTATCTCAGCGCTCTTTGTCTTTGGTGAGCTCTGTTACTTCCCCTGACCTGTCTCTGCACTTAACCTCGGGGTGTTGTATGCATGCAATTAGTGCACCAGCTGGCGGTTGGCCGATCACTGAGCAAAGCCTTCGCTCTCACAGGGAAACATCTCTGGGCAGGCACTCTGCTGGTTTTGAGCCAAGAGTGCCATTTTGCACAAATATCGAGGCACACTGGGGAAGGGCACGTACAGTGATTAAGAACAGGGTCTTTAGACTCTGACAGTTTCGAATTTGAATTTGAATTCCAGCTCCACCTCTGAGTAGCTGTTCGGCCTTGGGAAAGTTAACTAACTTTTTACAACCTCAGTTTCCCCATCTGCAAATTGGGAATAATCCTATGTACCTCATCAAAAAGTCATTAAAAAAATTCAATGCTATATATAGCATGTGTGAAGAGCTCAGTATATAGTGCCAAACAGTCAACAAAGGTAGCTAATCATTGTTATTAGCTGCTATAACTGTAGTTATTTTATTTAAAAATACTGCTCGATTTTAAGTATGTGTGTTTCTGCACATTTTTCATGAAGTCTATAAAAGCTTTTATTAATTAAAAGCACCCCAGTTAGGAAAGCACTATTTTATCTCACACATCTGCCAGCCAGGGAGTCGCTCATCACTTAACCCGCGTGGCTGGACTTGCAGCTCCTCAGGTCCCGGCCTTGCTGGTAGGGCCCCCCTTGGACAGTCGGGCCCCAGCCTTGGAGAACCCCCCCAGGCGCGAGGGTTGTTCCTGCCTGAAGCCTCCGCACCCCTGTAGGCCAAGGCCCTGCTCTTCCTCTGCTTGGTTTCTTGAAATCGTTTCTGAAGATCTGAGCCACACTGAAGCACAACTAACCAGCCTGTAATTTCCTGGTATGTCCCTATGGCCTTTCTTTTCAAACAAAAACACACACGCAAAATGGCATTAGGCTGGCCGGCGTCCAGCGCTCGGGTTTCAGCCGGGAGCGGGCGATGCGTGAAGGTGACCTCGCTCCGCCGCCGCGGCCGGTGTCTTACAAATCCACGGGCTTTCCGCTCTGAGTTGTTTTAAGAAAAGTTTACCTGAGCAGCTCTTTAATGTGTATCCTTTCTCTTCATCCTAGTACGTCGGAAAATAAGGCAACTTGTACTAAGTACTTAAGCCAGAAAGAACCGTTCTGCTTTTATATAAAAAAGATGCTAAAAATATCCAAGAAAATGCGGACTGGTTATTTGAATTCACAAATTAAAAGCACAACTAGAATATATTTGCATCTTTTCCAAAACTCTATTCAAATATTCTGAACTTGACTCAGGCACAAAAAACTAGATTTAGTTTGACTGATTACTTAAATTGTTAATTTTTTTGTGTTACAGCCATTTTCATCTATTTTTGATGATTAAATGTTTTGATTTAGTTGAATTCTTAATACAGTTTAAATATTTTGATTCACAATGAAGTATTTTGGTTTTAATAAGTGTTTGTATTTAATATAAAACAGAAAAGTTAGAGTTAAAAAGAAGTAAAGTGGGAATGATACTATAATATTCGGATAATGCCTAAATGAAAACAGAGATCAGGATAGAAGCCAAGTAATTTATTTTAAAATTATAATGAACATTCTGAAAATATATGTGCCTGCTACATTGTTTCTCTAAATGTCTGTTTCAATAAATGTTTGTTAATTAACAACAGACTGATAATGAAGTACGAAAAATGTTTAGATGATGCGTGTATAGGAAAATTCATTTCTAAACAAAACACTCTCTTACTCCAATTTTAAGATAGATAGAAATCTAATTTGAGATTAATTGTTAAAGAGTCATATTCAGAAGTTCTGAAATGCTAAAGTATATTTAAAGAAATACAGTATATTTCCTTCATGGTATGCATATTTGGAAGTAATCAATAAAGTAGTTCCAAATAGATAAAGTTTTCAAATATATTCAACTTATTTGTAGTTAGAGGCAGGCATTGCCTCCCAGAAATTCATGTGCTAAAGGCTTCAAAACTGTCCTTCTAAGAAATATCTTCCCTCATACTATTGTTTATAATATTCATTAGCCAACAAACTTCCTTCATGGTCAAAGCAAATGCCATATTAAGCACAGCCCAGACTAAAGTTATAAATTATTAAAATTAGTGGAATCTAAAAAATGGTATTTTCACTGTAGTTGGCAATTGAAACTCTATTATTTACCATTTACTTTCAAGAAAAGTTTTAATAAAACAGGATCAAATATATAGTGATACATTATATTTGTTTCTTTGGGGAAAAAGAACAGGATCTGAATTATATTAATTTTTGTCCATAGCTTCTCCCTAGGATTTTCTATAATTACTGTTATGGATATTTTTTAAGCATTCATTTTTAAAACTAAAATTTGGAATATGTACAGATGTAAGCAATATAATTAGCATTTGAAAGAAACATCTACATAGATTTTGTGTTGATGTTAAAAAGCTGAAGAGACAGCCAATCCCTTATAGGAATTTCATAGTCTTACCCTGAGTTTCGGAAAGGAAAGGAAATCGGGTAAAGTCCTCTTTTCTTTTTTTCAATTTCTAATCCACAGCATGGTGTCAGTTTCACATACTTTATATTTATTTTGCTTCCTGCCAAACTCCCTGGCTGACAAACATTAACCTCAATTGTTCCGACTGACCTGTTGGGCAGTATTGTTGAAATGAACATAGATTATATCATCCCTCAAACAACCCCCTTAACATTGCCTTTACCAAGAGTATTTTCTGGAATGTACTCCATTCCAATCAGGTTTCATCACTTACTCATATGGTTGCAACACGGGGATTTGGGGCTGGTGTTTTGGGAACCAGACCTAATGAAGACATCAAGCTAGATTGTGTAATTGTTGGCTCTTAATTGCACAGAGCTCTCTTAAGCATCTATTACTTATACATAATATATAAATAAATTTAAATTTAAGACCCAATTCCTTAGGACTCTTGAATTTTCAACAAATAAATTAAGATTATCTCCATATCTTCAGAACCTCATAACTATATTATCACAGTTCACATTTCAAAGAAATGCCGAGCAAAATAAGAGTGCAGAAATGTTTTTATATCGTTGCTCACTTTAAAACAGTTTCTTGAGCTCCCAGGATATTCTATTTCTTGTTACTTAAAATCTGTTAACTTAAATCTAAAATCTATTCCTATTACAAACAATTACTGACTTAAAACAGGCAGCAAACAAATAAGTAAACTGACACTCTTTAGCCTGCTAGGTGTATTTGTAGGTGCCGTGAAAAAGCACACAGCAGACAGAAGGTGCAGGAATTTTCCAGAACTCACAGTCTACTTTTTCTAATTCAGATTCCCTGTGACACTGGAATTTAAAAAGGCAAGAAAAGATGTTTCTATAGTTTCAAATTTTCCAAGTTTTCCTCTGCCAAGTCTTAACGTCTCTGAGTATTTAAGGTACAAGTCTCCTGTACACGATGGAAAGTGTTTCAATGGGTGGAAAACTATCCCATCGCCTGTGCTCACGTGAGGAGAATTTTCCTGAGGACAGTATGTGCCACGTTAATAAGATGCTACATGAGAAATCTCTTTGAAAAACATAAAGCCCAATATTATAAATACATGGTGGCACTATTATTTTGTTCTACAACTATCCTGTCAAGAGAACAATTTAAGTAGGAGATCCAGATCTGGGGGTCCTACCAAGGTGAAGAAGGTATTATTGACAAATGTTCACTTTTCTCTGTCTCCTTTCATGAACTGATTTTACCTCTTCCACTTAGGGGCACAACTAACATGTAAATCCATTTCAAACATACATGTGCCCACAGGCACATGTTACACATGTACATACAGGAGCATGTGATTTTCCCTAAATATTTCAGCATGATTGGAAAAGAAAAACATGTCTTATTCTGAGTAATGACAATAGCAAATGGATTTGAACCTGGCATCACTGTGCTAAAAGTATTTTCTAATATTTTTTTCAGATGAAAATATGAATCTTTGGAAAACACACAGATTGATTTCCGCAGGCTAATTAAATGAAGTCTACACGTGAAGAAATAATCAGACGTATAATATGGAAATAGAAGTGATGGATTGCTGCTGGAATATTCAGATTATTATGAAAGTGCAGATGCAGTCGATTATTTTAATAGGACCTCCTGTTGAAAGTCACATAAAATATTTTAGGTAGGACCCTGACTTTGTGGTTTTTTCAGCTCTCTATATTCTCCTGTCTCTCTCTCCTTGGTTCCCTTCTTTGTTATTAGTATGTAAATAGACTGCTATACAAATAACCTCAGGCACAAGCCCTGAAGATTGTCATATTTCTGCATAAGGGAACTTACTTTTAACGGGTTTGCCGTTGTGTAAATATAATTTCTCCGATAGAGCCTTGTGTAGCCTGTTCCCTTAGAAGTTGAGATAAACAGCTAAATGTGCTAGGGGACACTTAATGGCTGGCTTGTGATGCGAGGACGTGTCCCTGGAGGAACCTGCCAGTGTCACTCGCTGCTCACTCTCTTTAGAAAACCCGCCAGGGTACAGTACCTTCTTTTCGTTTTCCCGTCGCTGTTGGTCCTTAAATTTAATCTGGAGAAGTTGAAATTTCAAGAGTTTCCCTATCAGTGGTAAGGTTAATTTCTCTCCACTGTCCATGATTGCTTTTGCTGCTGTTAACACCTATGAAGAAACACAATTATTAGGAAAGGTGGCATTTTATAACCTTTGGCACAGGCTGTTGGTGATGAAAAGATGAAATGGTATTTTGGTTTTGTAATATTTGCCTTACTGCAATGGTGCCTCATTACTGGCCAAAAATAGTAGGGGGGGAAATGCCCTGACGCCATAGAGAGGGGCATTTATCCTTTACTCTAAATAAATTGGGGTGTCTGAAAATTAACTTCTTTTGCCCATAAGGCAAGGGGTGCTTCCCACAGGGTGCTAGACTCAAACTCTTGAGTGGGGAGTGGAAAGGTAGGCCGGGCCCACGATGGGGGTGCCTGAGAGGTCAAGTTCATGCTACAGAAAGTCTGTTGTTTGGCATACCAAACAGTCCGGACTGTCAGGCTGACTTATTAGAACGTTATAAATTAAACAGCGTTTTATAATAATGGAAACGACTCCGTTAGCAGTCATTTATTTCTTAGTGACCAAATTCGAAAGAAAGATAAAAGATGACTGACTCAGAGGCGCCATGCGAATGTTGCGCCCCTCCCCCCTTGCAATTTAATGTTGATCCTATTGGTATGCAGCCTAATTGGGGTGAAATAAGGTTATTGAGTTTTCTTTGGGTGACGACAGCCACTAGGAACATACAGCTGTATTGTCCAGATGTGTGGCACTGACAGCCTGTTTTATGACTCCACTTTTTACAGCTTGTTTCCCCTAAATGTCACACAACTCTCTAACATCTGGGCCCTTTTCCTTGGAGCCCTATAACCACTTTATTTACTGCAAAAAAATAAAATCACGTAAAATAAACCATAAAAAGCTGCTACGCGTTTCTCTTCATTCGTCTTGTCTCCCTAATAAAGCTCACCTCTAGCGGAAGCACTGTCACGAACGTAGTCTAGTCAAAGTATTTCTTGACTTTGTTTTTAAGCAAGCATCAGACTTATTTATAAGCCCAGGATGAATTAGGTGTTACTAAAATGTCCTGACATGTTGCCTTTCTCCCCCCTCGGAGCAATTACTCCTCCTGCGCATATGGTGTCAATTTCAGACCCGTCCCAGACAATGACGGCGGCACTGCAGCCCATCGGCTGCGTCCTGTCTGAGGTCCCAGCAGCCTTGCTCGGGCCTTTCCTGACCAATCCCGTTCCTGCGACTTCCCACTTTGCCAAGTGAAACAGCTGAAAGAAAGGGAGATGGCTATTTTGCTTCTAACTGCAGAAGGCTCTGTGGATTATCAGAGGCCGAAATGTAACTGGACTTCTTAGAGACCATATGAGGCTTTCCTGCATTCATCGCAGACGAGGAAAGCCAGGGAAAGGACCCTTTAAAGCTGCTGTTCTGAAAACCAAAGAACAAACTGAGTGTCAGAAAGCTTTGTGTGTGTCTAAGCAAACACCCTCCATGAGGCAAAGCTCTTTTTATCACAGTTCTGCTAACACTGTTTAGGGAAAGGGACACGATGGCCGTGATTTCTGGGAGCAGGAAAACAAAGGTACACACTCCTGCAGAACCTCACGTTTAGTGATGACCAGACTCAGGAGGGAAGAGAAACCTCAGGGAATGAACGGTCACGCGTTTACAGTAAATGAAAACTGTCCGGCTGGGCCCAACCGCAGGGGTAGATGTACTTGGTTTAAAATGACATTTTTCAATACCAGCTAAACAGTGTGCTGACAATCAGGCTGCTTGTGACATCTGGTTCAAAATATACAAATTTGGGATTTTAAAGCTCATGGCAGTCTAGCAGGGGGCATTTCCCTGCAATACAACTGTAATGACAGCCTTGAAGGGAAGGCAGCGCTGGAATGGGCTACCCGAGCACGGTGGAGTCTCTCTTCCTGATGACCTGTGAAAACAGGATATTTACCTACGTCTGGGGTGGTTTAGGTGAAGCCTGCCTGGCGTCATGGTGATGGATGGGATGTCTCTGGAGCTGCTTTCTCTCCCCGTGTCTCTGAGTCCATGAGTGTTACCTCACTGTGTTAAAATGTACTCAAAGCACAACAAAACGTCCCAAGAGAAAGGTATTTTGCTGGCTATAAACGTTTTCTGTGGTTCATCTAAAGCTGTTTGTAGAGAACTGGGTTTAAACAAAAATCCGGTATGGCATCAAAATAACAGTGATGCCGACTGTGAAATGGGGACATGAGTGAGCAGGAGGGCCACTGAAGAGCTGGGCACCATGTTCTCATGACACAGGGCCATGGAGCAAGGGCAGGGGAAGCACTAGGGAGCACTGCGGAGGGAGCACTGCGGAGGGACTGTGGACGGCCCCTCCTGCCCGAACAGCCCCGGGTGGCCCGGTGGAGGCAGGCTCCAGGCCCTGACACCCCGGAGGAAGGCAGGCCATCTCCATGGCACCATCAACAATGGCAGACACTGGGCACATTGTCCCTCCCCAGGGTTGCTCAGAGGAGATGTGATTCCCACACGTCTTTTCTCTCTGGGCTCCCCCCAAGGGGGACGACAGTGTGAATCCTTGGGTTAATTAATGAAAATGAAAGTCTCTGCTGAACTTAAAATCTGAGACTGAAAATGTTTATGGTATTTAGGTCATCCCAGGAGAGGCAGGAAAATGAATTAATTTCTCCTGAAAATTCTTTCTTCTCACACTCCATAATTCACAATTCCACTCAATCAGGAGCCAGTAGTTTGATCTCAGATGAGAAACAAATCCTTAGAGGACCTTTGTTTTGAAGCCTAAGTCTTTGAGGGGAGAAAACAAAACTACAGGAGAGACGGAATTTAAGAGGAAATACTTCTCATGCAACATTTCAGAAAGGTTTCGTCTCCTTTGCCTTTCTTGGATTAACTGAAATAATCATCAAACCTTCGGCCTCCAGCACTGTAAGGGCGACTTGGCTGGTATCTTGTCAATGCATATGTGTTTCTTTTGTGTATCTGCATGTATGTATCTGGGTGTCTGAGTGTGTGCACATGTGCGTGTGTATGTGTGTGACTGTAGGTGTTGGGGGGACAAAGGCTGCAAGAGAAAATGGGAGCAGTGAGCCCGTCAGGGGCTGGGGACAATCAGATCAGACAAAACCCCAAGTTTTAGAATCAGGCAGAAAACCAGTCCTAAGTGGGTTAAAACCAAGGTATTCATTGAGCCAAAAAACCAAATAAATGAGCCTGGCATGAGTCAGAAACTTAAAAAAAAAAGAGTCTTGTGGGCAAATGGGACTCATTAAAACAGAGAACTGTTGCCAGGCAGGGCCTGCATGCGTCTCCCGGACCCGCTCAGGCCGAGCTGGGGGCCCACCAGGGCTGGATAGAGGTCCAGGCCGAGCTTCCGGAGCGAAGACACCGGAAAGGGCTGTTGTAGGAGGAAATTTAGCTCAAAGAGTGCTGTGGAAGCTGTGCTGTATGAAGATCCTATTTTGAGGGTGGATGTTCTTTTTCTATTAGTGTGTGATTTTGAGCACACTAAGAAATAAAAACATTCCCCCCCTCTTTATCACTTACTTGGCTCAAAGACTTAGGCCATATTTACTATCTAATGATCTGATCCAACAAAAATATACCAAATGAGCCAATTCTTTCCTTGCCTGGGTGTCAGGCCCACCCACAGACATTACAGCCCTCCCCTCCCCTCATCCATCCCTCCTCCCTGTGGTTCCTCCGCACATTAGCAGTAAGCTCAGCATCTGCCTGGACAAACATTAGAATTGCTCCACAGATTAGAAACCAAATGAGTATATGTGTGCGAGTGTGTGTATACATATATACATATAAACACACATATATACATACAAACACATGTGCGTACATACATACATATGTATGTGTATATACAGGATAGATGAATGGATGGATCGAGCTTCCATGAGCTCTCTGCCTGGTTTCCCTGGTGTGATCACAAGGAGGCACAGGAACACCTTGACTTGTTGCTTANTGTATACATATATACATATAAACACACATATATACATACAAACACATGTGCGTACATACATACATATGTATGTGTATATACAGGATAGATGAATGGATGGATCGAGCTTCCATGAGCTCTCTGCCTGGTTTCCCTGGTGTGATCACAAGGAGGCACATTTGCTGCATGTTTGATCCAGGTGAGTTCTGAGCAAGAGTAGACTCTGGATCTGCGTTCCTCTTGTTTGGAACAGGTCATGGGAAGGAGATGATGGAGGAGGAAAGGTGTGGTTGTGTGGGGCAGAGAAGGGAGGGGTGATGGAGAGTGATGGGCTGAAGGAAGGCTTTCTCTCCAGAAGCTCCAAATAGCCACCAGTGCTCCTAAAAATAATTTGTTGGCTTCAGGGCCCTCCTTTTGGGAGGGCAGTGTCCATGGTGATTGTACAGGAGCTGTATTAGTGCACAAAATATGAGTTCATATTTAACCCACTATCCTTGGGTCCATGACTTAGGGTTGGTTTAGAGACGGAAAGACCTCAGCAAACAAGAAGCAGAATCCATAATCTTGCTCAGTCCAGACTAGCATAGGGCTGAGCAAAAAGTTCTTTGACATACAGGTGTGTGACTATGTGTGCATACCCACACCTGTACACACCTGTGTGTGTGTATGTGTGCACCAGAGTATGTGTGTTTATGTGTGCAGCCGCCTTTGGGGATGATGATTATAAAGGGTACTCAGTATCTAAAAACACCATCAAAACTGAGCTTATGGATCCTGAAGAATTAATAAAAAGAGAGGAAGAATACTAGCATTTTTGATCGGCACCTTAAAAGTCATTCTGTTTACCATTTCTCCCTAATTATCCTGCAGAACACAAGGTATTATGTTTGTCATTAAACACCTGTAAGATTTAATCTGTATAATTTATTCATCAAAGTAAACTGCGTAACTTGTATGTGTCATCTTTAAAGTCCGTTGCTTAGGCAGCATCATTACTTACGCAGTCTGCTGTTATATAAGTTGTATCTGCTCATAACATTAAAGAATCAGAGGAACCATTGCCCCCGTGTGTGTTTATACAGTTTCCAATGTTCAGAGTGAATGGGCTGAGTCGGATGAGCCTCATTCTGCA